TTTTTCTCTCAAATTTTATTTTATTCGAATTTCAAATTTAGAAGTGAATTTTTCTTAATTTTATTATTTTTTTTTTAAGTTTAAAATTAGTTTTCCTTAAAGAAGAAAAATTTTTTATATTCTTCTTATTTTTGTTAAATTTTTTTTTTGGTGTGTGAAAACGCTTGACCGTGTGGCAATTTTTAATATATAGACACTATGTGAAAAATAGGAAAAATTTTTAGAAGAGAAATAAAATTCTTATTTTACTCACATCCAAAAGAACATTTTGAAATAAATATGAATTTTTTTGATAAAATAATCAAAATGGCACATAATTTCGAAAATTTATTCAAAAGAATTCGGGGTTTTATTGCGATCAGTACTTCAATGTAAATAAGTACCTGTTTGGATTTTAATAAAAAACCATTACCAATTTTTGCAGGAACATCAGATCATTGATTCTCTCTTTAATATGTGGTGTGTTAGTTTAATAAAAATTTATATTAATTTTCGAAATTATAATTCTCTATAATAATATAGTCGTAATTTAATGAGGTTAGGAACTTAAACTATTAGCAACGAAAATAACCTTCTTATATAATGTAGTAGAAGATTCAATATAAAATATAAAATAACAAATTTTTTGGTGAATTATAAATTTTATTTTCTTTCAAAAGTTTTGCAAAAATGTAAGCGAACGATCTGTATATGTATACGATACCGTTTATCCCAGGTCTTCCTTTTAAATTTTAAGACTAAATTTTGAATTTGAAATTTTTTGAGTGACTGCTTTTTTTGTAAATGACTTTTCATCAATTGCATTCACATCTCTCATAAAATGGAATAATTTCTCTATTTTAAAATCTTTTTGACGTTTGACGTTTACAAATTATAATTTGTGTGAGAAGAATGTAAGAGTGAATTCTACAACTGCCAAATGATTTCTTTTAAAATTATTTTGTGTATAAAATGGGCATTATCTTAAACGAATTTTAATAATTAGAAAGTGCCTCTTACACATAAGGTTTCTAAACTAAAAGAAAAAATAAAAAAAATATAAAAAAAAAATTTATTTAAAATATTTGTATGCGGACATGGGCGATTTGTGGCGAATTATTAAAAGAAAAAAAAAATTAAAACATAGAGAAAATGAAGCAAAAGATAGAAAATATAGAAAAAATTAAATTTTTCGTATAATAAAAATGTTGGAATTCTAAAGCGTTTTTTAGGGTTACTAATAAAATATGCTTTTCGTTTTTTTTTTTGTTTTTTGTAATTTTTGAAATGAGGTAGTCAAAATTAGACGAAAAATATATTTATTCGAAATCTAGACTAAATAGTAAAGAATTTTTCTTTTTTTTACTTTTCGATGACGTTTTGTTTTCTTTTTATTGTTTTTATTTGTGCTGAAAATATTTTTGTGAAAATTTTTTTTTTTTTTTTGATTTTCCTCTATGTATGTAAATTATTCATATTTATTTTTCTCTCTTATAGGAAATAAATTCGATTGTATGTTTTGTAAGTTTTCCGAATATTGAATATTGTGTGATTCAGTGAGTGAATTTTGTTTATAGAAAAATATGTGCATTCAAACATTAAAATGTAATTATGTATAATAAATAAAAAATTTGATTTTGAATTTTATTTACATAATAATTTTGTTCTTATCAGATTTATACGCATAATGCATGCAGTAACATTTTTTCTGTATAACAATAATACATACTTACGCTGTATATGTGAAATTTCTTTGATATTAAATTAAATTAATTGCAATATTATTTTATTATTCTCTTATTAATATGTGTATATGTATATATAATTATTTTTTTCATATATTTAGCATAATATGTACAAAATGTTATACTGTATAGGTGTGCGCAGAGTGAGACTATTAAAATTTTGTGTGAAAATTATAAAAAAATTTTAATATAATGAAATAATGAAATTTTTGAATATATTATTAGTAATTGATAAATTAATAAAATTATGAATAATTCTATGTATTCTTTTAGAGGACATGTTGCATTAAATATATATAGACTTTGCCACTCATATAATATTTTAATTGTTTGTATACGCATTTATTTTAAATTTATTAAAAATATTTTCTTATACTATATTCTTTCATATATTATTCGGTAAAACAGTTCTTATATTCAATTCAAGATTGAATTAAAAATTAAGTAAATAATTGTATATAATAATTGTAAATGAATACATACAAATAATATTTAATTTTTTTTTTTCTAAAAATTTAGCAAAACTTATTTTTTTTTTACAATCTTACATCTTATTAAGGTCCATATTGTTTTTAATATAAAAAATTATAGTATTACCAAAATGTTAAAATTTTTGTCAAATTATTTTATTCGGCGAATTATAAGTGCCTGATGCTGAATAAGGCAAATTAACTTAAATTTTTAAGTTTCTAACTATGATGGTGTTATACTTCATGTATAAATTTAAATTTAAAATTATAGTTGAGTAGTGTTACCGTTGTTAAATTTATATTTCTATTTAAAATTTCATTATTATATTAGTATGCTATGTAAATATGTCAAATACAAATTAGTTGCATAAATATTTAATATTATTTTTTTATGTATATAATTTTAAATATGCAAAAGTAATATGTTTATGTAAAATTACGCAAGTAAACACTTTAAATACTATTTACGACAAAATTGTATGTTATTCTTTAATTATTTTTTAAAAAATAAAAAATTTTTTTCCACAATGTTTTTAATCTTAATTTAAAAATAATTAATATTAAAATTTTCACCTGCCTACAACGTAAAATGTTCAAGTTTCTGTTTTTTTTTTCCATCTCATATTACATCTTTGTTACCGTCTTCAAATCAAGTACCTATATACATATGTACATTTTTACATGCTTATAAGTCAAAAATAAGGTTTTTTTAATTCTTTTTTCATTGTTATTCTTTTTTAAATTGTTAGAGATATTAAAAAACAATATACATACATATTTTCTTAAAAATTTTATTTTATTTTTTTTTTTTTTGACTTTATTTTGTATCAAAACAATAGAATTATTGTCAAAGTTAATTGGACATAATTCAACATTTTTGTTTTTTTTTTGTTTTATATTACAATTAAAATAATGTACGTATGTACCCTAAAATAATAACAAATATAATAAAAATAATTTGTGTTTGCTCGTTTAAAAGAAATTTTTCATTCATTCATTTATAATCTTTATCTTAATTATAAAAAAATATCTATACTCTATGTATATGCTATGTACACACTTATAAAATAATTTATAATAAAATATGTACACATAATGTATACCTATAGATGCGTGTATAACTCTTGTTAATACTTTTTGGATTATTTAATAATGTCAAAACAAAGATTTCTTTAAAATTATTATATTTTTTGCCTACCTGTTTTATTACGTAAGTGCGTATATACATATAAGTTATTTATGTGTGTATTTAAAATTATGTATAAAAAATAAATATAAAAATTCATTATATATAAATGCATTATATTATGTATAACATATTTATGTATTTATATTATACATATTCATGAGCCATATATGTATGTATATACATACTATGAAAAAAAATAATAATTATATAGGTAAAACCTCCAATGAGGTTATTATTAAAATAAAATGAAAATAATATGATGATAAAGCAAAAAAGGGGAGTACTTTACCTTCCCACTCAAAAAAGCAACAAAAAACAACAAGACAGACACTATCATTAATGTATGTAAGAAAAAAAAGATCATTTAAAAAATTAAACTTATCGTCAACTGAACTTGTTAAAATAATATTAAATATAAGTATATATGTACATATATAATAAATGTGTGTTATCAAGAGAGATAATGCATTAATATGTTTGTATAATGACGGATGAGATTATAAAATATATATACAATTATCTACCTATCTACATATAATAACGATAAATTTTTAGTTATCGATAATTTTCACTTAATTTTAAAATTAATTTTTCATATTATATTTTGGTAATACAAGTACATTTTTGTATAAAAGTAACTATTTACATTTATATACGTATGTACATATGTATATAAAAAAAATTCTGTTCTAATACTGAAATTTAAAGTAACTTACTCATTTATTCTCTCTTTTATTTTTTATTTACTTATGCGGTAAAAAAAAAAAAACAAATTAACAGGTATTAGTGAAAGAGAAGGGAAAATTATTATTTTTATTATACCCACATACATATTTATATACAAATCTGCATATTTAAATAGAAAAACAACAAAATTAAATTAAATCTAATTTAAGATCACATTCAAACCACAATATTAAAATGCACATAAAGGTGTTATACGGTTAAACCCTTTAAAATTATTTATCTACATTTTTTTATCTTAAATAATATTATATAGTGCGTGTTTAAACACATAAACACTATGTTATCTAGATATTATTTAAATATGACTCATATTTTAACGCTAATAATATAATAAAAAGAGAAGAAAAAAAAAAAAAAAACAATTTTTTTGCAGAAAATTTTCTTTGCAGATCATATGTTTAAATAAATTTGCAGTGCAGAGTATAATAAATCTATAAAGTAAATGAGAGAAATTTTTTTATTTTAATATCAATAGGACAAAAAGAGAAAATTATATTTATATATATATAATATTTTGGCATTTCAATTTCATTATTCTCTTTTTTCTCTATCTGCAATAATCGCTTCGCTACTCTACAGTTTTTAAATGACTTGACTGTAGTAAAACACAAATGTGTTAAAATGAAATAGAATTATAGCGGTAAATTTATTAAAATAGTTTTCTCTTTCTGCGTTATTCACTTAAAAATTAAAGCAACAAAAAAAAACTATAATAAAATATTGAAGGCACAATAATAAAAACAAAAATAAAATTTTATTTTATATGATCATTTGACAGACTAGACATCTCTTTTGGTAAAAAGATTTTTCGTACTTTTTTAACTGCGATTATTTCAGTCTATATTTTGGTCGCGAATGTGTTAAGTGGAAATTGTTGAGTAATTTTTTTCCATTTATTTTTTTTCAAATTTCGTGAGAAAAATTATTTTGTTTCACCAATTTTTAATTCAATTTTATTTTAAGAAAAGAAGAAATTTTTTGCATTATTTTATTTTTGTGTTTTTTTTTTATTGTTGTTTTTTTTGTTTTTTTGCTTTCGGGTATTTTTATTCTGAAAGTTCTCAAATTGAAAGCGGAAAATACGTGCGCGGTGTGATTTTTTTTCTGTTTGAGTTTTAAATTCAATTGAAATGCAATTTATTTAATTTACAAAAGTAAATATTTTTAAATAAAATAAAAAAGAAAATAGAGTTTTTAAATAAGAACAATCTAAAAAAAATATGTTTAGAAATTGTAAATTTTTTTGAGAAAAAAAATATTCTGACTAGTACAGAAGAAAGCAAATTGTTTAGAAATCAGTAAAAAGTTTTCAATAGAATTTTACATGCATACATACGTATGTATGCAAATACGTAAAATAAAAAAGATTTTAAACAAACTACAATTTACCTTATAAAATAAAGTAAAATAAAGCTAATTAAAATAAAATAAAAACAATTTATTAAACTTTTTCCATTTTATTAGCAAAGTAAAACAAAAAATCCTCACATTTAATATTTATTTGAAGCTCAGCTGTTTTTAAATAATTCTGATCTGTCAGAAATTGCAAATTGTATTTTTGTTCTTGTATATTGTTTGTGAGAGTAAAAAAATATTAATTTGCTTTCTGCTTTTCATTCAGTGCCTAATTGAAATTTTAACAATTTAAAAGCTATTTAATAAGAAATGATAGTTAATTTATTAAATTTTTATTAAAAAATATTAAACGATTTTCCTATATAAATCAGAAATATAAATTATAAGATTTTTTTACGAATTTAAAAAGTGAATTTTCATAGGAGAATAAGTAAAAAACAGAATTTTGACAGCTCTCTCAGGTTGAGTCAAATGAGGTAAAAAAAAAAAAATAACAAAAAGAAAAAGAGTGTTGATAAGAAAAATAAAAACAACATTTTATATGCAGCAAGAAATAAAAACAAAAAAAAAAATTTTTGTCTGTGCTGCGCGCCGCTGTCTGCATTTCATAAGTGAATTCTCATTCTTATAAGAATAATATTATACACATATGTATATAAAAAAAAGAGAAATATTAAAATAACCAGAAACAAAATGTGTGGGTTGTTCAAAAATTACGTTTTAAAGAAGTGTTTAAGAATAACAATCGGAATTGAGAATTAATAAATTAAATTAATAATTTAATTTAAATAAATTTTTTATTATAAAATATTGAAAAATAATTAATCAATTTATTAATTCTTTAGAATTTTCGAGAAAATACATACATATGTATATGTAAATTAATTTATAGAAAAAATTTAAATTTTATATTTATCATATTTATATGAGTTTAAATTTATGAAATTCAATAAATTATTTATCCATACATACATACATATATGTATTTAAACATCAGCAGGTATAGAAATTAAAAATTTGACTTAGAGGCAAGATTTTTTTCGTAATAAGAATTTTTAGTAACGCAAAATTGTTAATTAATATTGGCTATTGTTTGTCAATCGTTTTATATAACGAAAACTTAATAGGTACTTTTGACATTGTATTATTTATTTAAATTGAACTCAACATACCCAAACATAAATTATTGCACAGAATTAGATTATTTGGTGCTCAAATAAGCTATTTTAAGTAATTTTATAATTGAAAAATAAAAATAGAGACATTTAGGAATTTTATTGGAATATAAAGTTTTAAATATCTTTTAAAACACTTCTATACTTACAGCCTGAAACGTGCTCATTTAGTCTGATAAATCGGAAAAATTAAATTTTAATTAAATTAAATCAATTTCAGTTTCTTAAATTTTAATATATTTACATAGATTTTTTTTATGCATGTATGCATTCTATAATTATACCTACTCGTAAGTATATAATATTTATATACTTACGAGTAGGTATAATTTTATAATTTTTAATAAAATTGTTTCCTTATTTCTATCAATTTGGTTATTGTTTGGTCAAATATTAGGTAATTCTAGTCAAATATTAAAATTGCGAATTGATATTATAAAATAACATTAGATTTATACACATGCAATAACTAGAGGTTAATTTGGATACTCTAAAGTTCTTAAGAATATTTGTATGTTTTGTAATCGTTAATTACAAATAATCGTACTAAATGTACACATTTAATATTGTTATATATAAAAAATATAAGTACTATGTATACTTAAATACTCATTAGTTATATTCGTTTATTGCAATATAATTTTATTAATTTTAGGAATTTTATTGAATTTAATAATATTGTTTTTAATGTTTTAATTATGGCAAGAATCTGTTAGCAGCCGTCGTAATATTGAAAAATGCCTTATTATCAAAAATTTTTTATAGTGCGATAATACGCGCAATACGCTTAATTTAAGAAATTAAGAAATTTTATTTAGATTTATGAAAAGAATTCTTTTAAGTGATTCTTGCATTTCTTTAAAAATAATTAAAAATTGTTGCACTCATTTTAATATAACATAATTTTTTGTGAACAACCTATGCATGCAATATGATTGTACTTAAAATTTAAAAATTAAAACAAATTACAAAACAAATTTTCTATAAGTACTTAATTATTTTTACTTACATATTATATTTTAATTTAGTTTTAAATAAGTGACAACACAAAATATGATCACAAATCAAAAAAAAAATTATTGTAAATTACATACAATAAATATATAGGTAATATACTTCAAATTAGTTAACAAACAATTACTAATTAAAAATACTTGTATAACTTATAAAAATGAATAAATTTTTAAGTGATTTTATAAAAAAAATATACTTGTACCTTTCAAAAAGTGAATGAAAAAAAATAGTGAAAAAAAAAAAAAATATTAAATAAATCTTAATGAAAAAATACTCAGCTGTCAAAAATTTTTAATGTGAATTATCAGTCCAGTTATTAAAATCAAAAAAAAGGAAAAATGTTTAAAATTTAATTAAAAAAAAAAATAAGTAAATAATTTATTAGTTTATTATTCTTTCAAAAAATAAATAACATTTTAATTATCTTAACAAAATATAAAACAAGAATCTTAAAAAAAAAAAAAATTCATCCAGAAAAACACGAAAGCATTAAAAGTTTATAAAATAAGAAAAAAATACAAAAAGAATGTTAAAAATTCAAACATATTTGACATGCGTGAATGAATAAATGCTGCTCTAACGTAATTTAATATAACATAAATAATATGTGTATGTGTATATGTCGTATGTAACAGCAAAATATTAAGTAATCTATAAAGTTCGTAAAAAACGTAAACGCATATTTGATGTACTTAATTTCCGTCGGCGGCGGCGGTGTTCCAATTGCACAATTTTTGTTTGTTTTGTTTTTTTATTTGCTGTTCAATACGGTATCTTAAACATTATATATCAGAGACTCAGAGTAAACAATTTCCATTAGTTGCGGTTCATTGAGTTCTCTTTCATTTAAATTTTTTTTTATTTTAATAAAAGAAAAAAAATTTTTTTTTCATGTATTTGTTTAGAAATTTGTTAATAATTTGAAAAAAAAAGAAAGAAATAGTTAACAAAAATAAAAGCAAATTTTAAAAAAAAAAATGAGGTTATGAATGTCAAAATACATTAAAGTTGTAAACAAATAAAAATTTAAGTTATTTTTTTTTTCTTATTTTTCATTTTATAAATTTAAATTTTAATAACTTAAATCTTTACATAAAACGATATACTTTGTGTATATATATATATATACTTTATATACATAATAAATTCATATGTACTTAAAAGTATAACATAATTAATTTTTACAAATTATTTAATTGAAAAACAAAAATAAAAAATAAATCAAAACGAATAAATTCGTTATATTGACAGCTACATAATAATAATTATCCCTCTGGCGGTCAAACCAAAAAAAAAAAATTTGTTTACAAAACATAATATCACAATATTTATTTGAAATATAATTTTCCTATAAGAATACAAAAAATATTTTGAAGTTATTCAAACTAGAAGAGAAAAAATAATTAAAAAGGAGAAGAAATAATTCAACAAAAAAGAAAAAAGTCCTTAAAAACTTTTTTTTTTTATTTTATATACCATCCAAAGTTTAATTTAATTTTTTTCACCATTTTTCTAACAAACGGCCACGAAGTGGAGAACTTTTATCTTAGGATGGATCCAACGCGAGGTGACTCGCGGTATAATCTTAATTACGGTATGGGCGGTATTGGTCTGAGTTTAGCAGATCAAGCCGACCTATACGGTAATCCAGCTGCTGTATTGGCATCTGGTGGAGGTGGTGGTTTAAATAACCGGCCACCAAGTGGTGGATTAATACAATCGATGGGCGGCGGAGGTGGTGGTAGCGGTAGTGGACGTTCATCGAGTGGTCTTATGCATCATAGCTCTACCGGTGGTAATTCAAGTAATCAATGTCAAACACTTGGTGGCAGTGGTGGAAATTCAAATCAACAACAGCAACAACAACAACAACAACAACAATCATCTCGTGGTATAAAACGTACTAGTTCAGGTTGTTATGAAGACCATCATCGTAATAGTGCCGGTCAACAAATGAGTTCACAAGGTCTACAAAATTTAGATAATTGTGGACCAGGTGGACAACATAGCGGTAATGGTACACCACAAGATATGGTTGGCGGTGGTAGTGGTGGTGGTGGTGGCGGCGGTAGCGGTAATCCTGATGAAAATTATACATCATTACAAACAAATAAAAAAAGTCCACCGGCTAATGGAAAAAAGACAAAAGGACGTGTTAAAATTAAAATGGAATATATTGATAATAAATTAAGGCGTTATACAACATTTTCAAAACGAAAAACTGGAATCATGAAAAAGGTAAGTGATATTTTTCTTAATTATTTTGTTTAAAAATTGGTGAAAATTCAATAAAGTGGCATAAGAAAAACAAAAAAAAAAAAATCTACAATATAAAATGACAAGTAAACATAACCTTAAAAATATTTTTGTATCGTAAAAATATTTAAAAAAAATTCATTTGCAATAACAATAAATATTTTTGTGTATGTTTTTTATAAAAAAAAAAAAATGTTTGAGTCTTGCGCATTTAATTTTGCAATGTCAAAATTAAAATTATAAATGAAAAACAGCTGTTTCGTGATGAAAATTATTTTGTTGTTAATTCACATAGAATTAAGTAAATTGTTGTCTTTTTATATTGAATAACTGTTACTGCTCAATATTTTTATGTAGCATTGTAAATAATTTATTTTCTACCTATAATTTCTTTTCTCTCATTTAAAAATATTAGTTACCTACATACATTTGTTTTTGTTAAAACATAAATATAAATTCCTGCTTATTCTGTAAACATATTTAAAGTTAAATTTTAATATCACATTTCTGTTCTTCTTATTGTTATTGTGGTTTGCTATTAGAAATGCGCAGAATCTCTGTAAAGTGTCAAAATAAAAATGAAGAGAATTTTTTTTATTGGTGTTGTTAAGAGATAAGAAAAACGAAAATACCAGCAAATTCTATATCAGCATAAGAGTGAAAAAAAAAGAAAATAGTGTTACCAAATAGTTTCAAATTTAATTTTAATGCCAAATTTGGAAATATGACTTATTTTTCAAAAGGATATAAGTACAGTAATTATATTGAATGTTTAAAAACTTTATTGTCTTACATTAAGAGTTACAATTTTTTCTTAATTTTCAATATTGCCGTTACTAAACGAATTAAATTTTCATGTATTTTTAATATTTATAATATGAACTTGAATAAGTCACAAATTAAAATAATTTTGAATGCAGTTCTAGTAGAAAACATTATAGAATTAGATAATTATTTAAGTCTTTAATTATGATAATAGAAAAGGCCATTGAAATTTCTAATCTTTTGAACATTGGAATTGTACTTATTATTGAATAATATTATTGCTATGACACTAATCAAATTTTACGTGATCATACTTAGTCCCTACTTACCTACAAGTTTAAATTGACTATAATTACTTAAAATTTTATTTGCATAAGTTTCCGGGTTTTTCATTCATTTCTACATTTAATTTAAAAAACCAATAATTTCTTGATTTATCGCCATTTAAATAAAATATTTTATTTTATTTTATGATTCATTGTATTTTTATTGTGTTTTTTTTTTTTTTTAATCATCCACCTTCTATTAATTTTGTAAGTGTTAATTTTTTCAAAGATGGAAATGTAAACTTTCTAAAATTTAGAAAAAAAAAACAAAAATAAAAAATATAATAAAAAAATCAACGCCCTAGTTTTGAACTTGTTTTTAATTTAAATCGTTTCGCAAATCTGTCATTTATCTTAAATTTATTTAAGTATAAGTATATATATATATACATACTTAAATAATATATTTAAATAGTCAAATATTTTTGTTTATAAGTGTATCTAACAACTAATATAAAACTGTTAAACTGATTTTGTTCGAATATTTTTGGTCAAAAATTGGAAAAGAAAATTAATAAATCACTTTTAAATTGTAAGATTTATGATTTTTAATTATTTCGAAATTTTTTGGGAAAAGAGAAAGAACAATATAAAAAATAAAATCAAAATTTTAATGTCACGGGCAAACAATGTTAAGAAATCGATTTTATTAACTATCTATAGTTATTTAGTCTAGTAGTTTAATTTGTGGTAACTTGTAAATAATAGTTTTCTCTTCATTTTGAAGACCTTTAACGGAAATAGTTTCTCGTTCAATAAATTTTTTTATTATTTAATTTAAAATAATTTAAATAATTGTCTATATTTTGTACTTAATTTGTAATTTATAGAATAAATATAGAAAAAATGAAATGAATGCCAAATTTTTTCTTATCTTGAAAATTTATTTAATATTCTTTTATTTTTAAAACCTCACCTTTTCACAAAAAAATACTTATAAAATAAATGAAATGAAAAATTTCCTTAAAACAAATTTAACTGACCACCTACAACTTCATTTTGATGAAATGTAATACACCATATATAATTTTTTTGTTTTTAAATAACGGTATAAGGTTGTCTTGAATATCTTGTTATGCAAATTAAAAAAAAAATCTTTTTAAAAAATTTAATTTTTATTTTATTGAAAAATGAAAATTCAGTGAAATTTTAATATGAAGAGCAAAATTATTAAGTATTTTGTGTATTTCATTATCTTGTGTAATTAAATACAAGTGATCCTACGACTCATATTTCGTTTTCATAATTTTGCATAGAAAATTTTAAGCTAAATTAAATTAAAAAATGAAAAATTATTAAATATTGATCCTATGTCAATTTAAAGACTTTTAGAATACGTTCCAAATAAAATTTTTAATACGTTCCAAATAAAAAAAAAAAATTGAAATCGATAAAAAAGTAAACTATAAAAATAAAATTCTGAGAAATCCAATAAACACGGGAAAATTTAGGTTTTTTAAAAATCATTTAGTACAGAGGTTCCCAAAGATTTTTTCCCTCGTACACCCCTTGTCGTGTTTTTGAATTTTTGATAGACCCCCTTAATACTTAATTAAAATCATATTTTATGTAGATCCCTAGCAGCGGTCCATAAAGTCCATGAAGGCCACTTTGGGAATCACTGATTTAGTATAAGACCACCATGGGTTCTATTGCACCAACTATACGTTTACTTTTAAACTTTTTTAAAAAAAATACTTTTTCTAATTGTTAAATATGAACCTTTGTATAAAATAAATAAAATAATTTTTATAAAGAATTAAATTCTATATATAGGCGGCATCGTGCTTTTTTCAATTTAATATGAATTTAATAACCAGGAAATGGAAATAGTTTTAATATTATAATCATAAAAATATAATATAAAAAATATTAATTGATTTGATAATAGATGTCGCTTCAGTATTTTACATGATTATAGTTGAATTACTTACATTTAAAATATTGTTAATGCAGTTCATTAATCTTTTAACTATTGAAGCAACAGAATGTTTGCGATTTTCTTTTTGATTGACTTGTATAGAGCCCAGATCCCAAACTTAATTTAGGATTTTGTACGGGAACTTGTTAAACGTTGTTAAACTGTATGCTAAAACTTAATATATAATCTACTAACTGCTGGACTTATGATACTGAAAGAAGCTTTTAGTATACAACACGAATTTTTTCTAAAATACGAAACTAAAGGTAATAGACTACACAACTCTTTCTAATCATTAATCTTATTCTAATTCTTTAAATACAGGAGCTTTTTTTCTTTGAATAATAAGAACTTTGATTCATTCAATTAAAATAAATTGAAATATTTGGGTCTATACATAATAAGTAAAACTGTTATAATCAAAAATTCTTAAATGATCTTATTTAGACTTACTTCTTCTAACAGTGTTTGCTTCAATTTTTAAGAATTGTTTATTAATCCGTTTATAATTTAATAATGAAATACTATTTTTCTTGTTCATTTAAATTTTATAATATTAATTATTATTTGCATTCAATTTCGAATACCAAAAATTATTATAAAATATAACAATTACATTTTATTTAAACAAGTTTATAATTTTAGTTATTATAATTAATTACAATAAAATATAATGAGCATATTGAAAAAATTTTATGTAATTTAAGTTTCTCATTAAAATTAACTTGTATAAAACTTATATAAAAAACTCGATTTCTTAAAATAATTTTAAAAAGTTTTTAAAATTCACCAAATTACTTACAATAATTTCTAAAATTTTGAATAGTTTTTCAAATAAACACTCGAGCAAAATTTATTCTGGATAATCGCACGATATTTGTGTAAATATATATATTATGTCTACTTAAATATAGAGATATAAAATACCCTACCGATTTCTCAATAAAATTTGTGCAAATAATAAGTAAGTAAGTAAAAATTTTTCTACTTTAATTTCCTTTGGGATTTAAAATTAAATTGCAATAATTGTGAATATTTTCTATATTATTTTCTTTTTAGTATTGAATAAATATTAGACATTTTGAGTATGTACTAACTTACATAACATGTAAGTTCAAAAATATTCACTTAATTTCTATATATCCATACCTATGTATATATATATACAGATGCACTCGAATGTACTCATTATTGTTGTTCTTCTTCAATTCAATTTAAAGTTTTCGAATATACTTAGAGTTTATTTTGTTGTCTAATCTCATAATTTTAATTATCTTTTAAAAAATCGCTTACATTTTCAATGAATAACATAACAATAAATTTCTTTTATTATCCTTAAGTAACTTATTCCTTTTCAATATTTAAGAATAATATACATAAGTATATAATAAGATAAAACTTTAGTGGAGGTAAAATTATTCTATTACAATTTTTTCCTTTATTACTTGTAACTATTTATTCTATCGGTTTGTGTATGTGTATATATATATATATATATATATATTATGAATTTTTATATAACAATAAAGACGGTGCCACTAAAAACGTAAGAATTACAATAAAGCGAAATAGACAATATCATAACAGATGTATATCTTAGTTTTATAGGCCTAAAAGGTTAAATATGGCTAAACAGAAGCGCCCAGAAGGCAGAATTTTCTTTTGTTACGTTGTTCTTCCTTTTATTTTTTTATTTTATTTTGAAGCGAACAATAAAAATATTATATATATGTACGAATAAGAAGTATAAGAAGAAGAATAAACAAAAATTAAGGAACTATCTTAATCTTATATGTCACGACATATTATAATCTGCTTTTTGACGATAATAATTTTTAATTTTTTGCCAATTTTTATTTTGTATGCTAACTACTCAAATATTCGCTCTACTAAAATAACCACCTTTTATTTTATAATTTCTTGTTAGGTTATTATTGAAGAGAAAAATGTTAGGATATTTTTTATAAGTT